CAGGTTAATCAGAGGATTATAGATGCAGGTAGTCCTTGACTTACAACAATTCATTTAGTGACCATCCAAACAATTCATTTTGTGACCATTCAATGGCACTGCAAAAGGTGACATGACTGTTTTTCACACTGACAACCATTGCAGCATCCCTGTGGGTTGTCAGAATTTGGCTGCTTGGCAAGTGACTCATATTTATGATGGCTGCCCTGTCCTGGGGTCATGTCATCACCTTTTGTGACCTTCTGAGAAGCAAAATCAATGAAAACCAGATTCACTTAAAAGCCACATTACTAACTTAACAACTTCAGTGATTCACTTACCAACTGTTCCAAAACAGGTAATAAAATGGGACAAATTCACTTAACAACTGCCTCGCTTTGCAACAGAAATTTGGGGCTCGGTTGTGGTTGTAGGTTGAGAATTACCTTTACTCCTCAACTTATGATTACAATGGATCACCAAAAACCTACATAGGGCCCAGATCTTCCCCCTTCTCCCCCCCACCCCGCATGGTCACATGACCGCATTTTGGGCACTTAGTAGCTTGTCCATAGTTATGGTTGTTTGCAGTCTCCCATGGTCACATGACTGAGATTTATAATGTTTTTTCCCCAAACTGGCATTTACTATACTTGTCATTTCTAGCAAAAACCACCCTACACTGAACAATTGATTCGCTTAATGACTGATGCATTTGCTTAACAGCCACTGCAAAAAAGATCATAAAATTGAGTCTGGTCACCCTGGTGATCCACTTTACAACTGTCATGATTTATGATCTAAATTATGGGCTTAATTCCAGTTGTAATTCAAGGACTACCTGTATACCTTCCACATATCAAATGCATTGTATATTTTGATACATAGGATTGTGCAGTAAATGTTGTCATTTTATACAATTAAATTGCTCTATAAGGGCTTGAATGTGAATAATATATTATAGTATGGTAAAAATATGCAGAACATCACTGTAAACTAAATACTGAACTTAATCCAGAGCTGAATAACATCTGTGTCCTTTTTCAAAAGTGTTAAAAATACTGTATAATGCTGAATGTAAATCTGCAGATGTACAATGAGTGATAATGGAAGCAAATATGAAGCATTACAACAGGACAGAAGTAAAAAGAAATACTGCTTAGTATGAATCATCTCCGCATTCTAGATCTTTCTATTACATGTTTCAAAAAACGAAATACAAAATACAAATATTGAAGCTAAATAGTCAGGTTTCCAAAATTATCTTGGTCCATTAAAAAGTGTTCACAGAAGTAATGAAATAATTTCATAATTATAAACTGTTAGCATTCATGTGCAGAATAGCTAGATCTTTTGCTACCTATTTTCCTTTATCAACCAGTCCAATGAAAAGATGTGTATTTCAAAAACTGGCATCTTCATGCTTTGTAGTTTTATGTATTCCTAATAAGTCACTCTTTCACTGACATTGTGACCTTTATATTTTGTAACCATCTATAAATAATGTGTGTGTGTGTGTGTGTGTGTGTGTGTTCACTTACTAGTGACAAGGTGATCCTTCCTAGGAAGGCAAAGTAAAATAGCACATCTTCTTTGTTTACATCAGCCCCCTTTAACAGTGGATGAGAGAATTTTTTCCGTTGGCCATTTGTGATTTAAAAATTTCATTCTTGTCACCTCAGAGAGAAAAGAACATGACTACACCTGCCTGAAGCTGACATACCCAACAATTTGATCCAGGTTTGGGTTTGGGAGGGGCTGGACTAGAAGACCTCCAAGGTCCCTTCTAGCTCTATTCTGATTGGATTGGATTGGAAAGGGTCCTTCTTGAGAGAGGCATATACATGCATGCACATATCCTATATTCAGTGATATAAGTTATTATGCCCATCATAACTGATTGGAGCAGCTTAGGAACCTCATGAATAAGTAAGTTCATGAAGTTGTGAGTGCAATCAGGGAATTGAGACCACACAGAATTGTTATGTAAATGTGTAGCGGATGTATGTAGTACTCATGACAAGGACAAGAAATGTAAAAGACTGTTGACTCAAGAGAACAGAGGAAATGGCCTAGGATTTCAAGCCTGGGATGAGATATGTACAGTGAAATCACAGCTTAATGGGCCTTTGATCTGATGCAATGGACATTTTTTTCATTCAGTTGCCACCCCGTTTAACGTCCATTAAATAAATATCTGTCTGTTAAATAGAGGTCTTCTAGGAAATGATTGTTGACAACAACTATGTAATAATGCAAATGGCATAAATTAATGCAATAAAGTACAACCATAATTTATGGTCATTCAGATTTAATGGACATCCTATCCCCTTTAATGGGTTGTTAAATTGATGTATACGCACATATGTATCTCTCTGTTTGATATTAAATCCTGGATTTTGTAACAGGCAGATCTGCTTTTATAGTTCTTTGTAATAAAAAGATATTATCTAGCTATGTTGAGTCTTTGAAGCTTCGGCTGTTGGTTAGTAACTGAATATGGAAGTGATTTTCTGGAGAGTAAAAATATTCAAGATTGTTGTGGTTTGTGTGAAGTCTGATAAACAGAATCAGAACTTCTGTAGCTATCTACTTGAAAAGCTCTGCTTAAAGGTGTACTGTCCTCTGTCTTTGATGATAGTAGATTTATATCTGAGAACATTCTGTAAATATAACTTCAATTTCTGGGTGCCAAAATGATAGAATGAGTCTCCGATACATAGTCATTTTTAGGTTATCATACCAACCGCCTAGTGAATCTCTATGCAGTTTACAATTAGAGATAAAATCAAAATGCCTGAAATATTAAAACAATTAAACTCACCAGGTGAAAAGCTCTTTTAGCAGGTTCTTTACATGGCTTTTTTAAAAAGGAAAATAAAAAGATTAGGCTACCAGTTTATCATTACAAAGAATTAGAGCTCCCACAGAAAAAAACACTTCATTATGAGATGCTATGGGATACACCATGGCAATTGTAGACAAATCTTTTCAGATGATCTCAAAGATTGAATTGGAAGGGAATGTCTTATGGACCACATATGTTCTCTCAGGTGGTCTGGACCCAAGCCACACAGAAGTTTAAAGCCCTTTGGTTTTTACCTGGATATTGTCCATTGTAATGCTTTTTTTACAAAGGCATAAATATGTTCTCCTCAGTTCTATACTAAATATAGGATTAGAACCAAGGGGAGCCCCACATAGGTCAAATTATAATAGCTAAGTATGGATATAAGATTCTACCCAGCAATGTAAAGTAATTCATACGGCATTTTTTATTTATCAAACTTGTATGCTAGCCAGTTCTCGAAAGGCGACTTGGATACATGTATTTCAAGGTCCTTACATTGCTTCACTCCTTCAAACTCTTAATTAATTTAGAGCAGAGAATCAGTAATAAAATAATCAAAAATATCAATACTTGTGGTGTATATAGCATAAACTATACTACATAGTATTATACTAGATAGTATAAACCATCTGTCAAACAATCGGTAAATTGCATCAGTACTGATAGTTCCCTTATACATGTTATTATTAGATTCAAACTTAACTCCATCATCCTGAAGATACTTGGAAAAGCCAAGTTTTTAACAGCTTGCTAAAAATCAAGACTGAAGAATACCGATCTTATTTCTGGTGGTGGGGCTTTCTATAAAAGGGAAGCTTCTGCAGAAAGCACTTGCCTCTAAATTTCCATCATGCCTCAGCAAGTACTCTTCTGCAGGCACACAGGGGATGGATGGACAGAGAGTTTTGGAAGGAAATGGCCTTGTATATAATCAGGCTGCAGACCACAAGCCACTGTCCCCAGCAAGAGACACATGTCAGGACTTTGATTATATTATCATGTAGGTTTTCCATTTGGTAAGTCCTAACTAGAGGTCAAGATGGTAACATCTTTCTCTCCCTCTTTTTTGATCCATTCAGTCCCATATATATCATGGAAGGATCCCCCTATATAATGTAGTCTCTTTACCAATAATTTATTTCCAAAACTTATAAAGTAGACGAAGTTCAATTTGATGAAGTAGGCTTAATCACTCTAGTTAGGAATCTGTTTACAAATATTATGTAAGCCATTGCCCTGAAAATAAAAAGTCTTCCTTTGGAGCTTTCCAACTTTTAGGATTTTGTAGCAGTTCCCGTCCCTCCCATTGTGAAGCAGTGTAGAGTCATCTAAAAAGGCAACTTTTTTATTTAAAAAAAAAATCTATTTTAATTAGGGAACAAACTTTTTTAAAAAAATTGTCTTAGTGAATATAAATGAGTTAAGTCTATGGCACCAACAATATGGCTTCTAAAAAGTTTGAAGAAAGAAGGAATACATCACTGATATATTATTTTTAAAATTAGCAATCCAGCTTTACAGGAACGCATTTGCATTTTGATCTGACTGTTGTTCACTCAAGAGCTGCTGCAATCTACAAATAATAATTCTTGCAATGCATGTGTTACAATGTACAGGTAGTCCTCGACTTATAACCAAAATTGAGCCGCAGATTTTATGTTGCTAAGTGAGACATTTGTTAAAAGTGGGTTTTGCCCCATTTTACAACTTTTCTTGCCACAGTTGTTAAATGAATCACTGCGATTGTTAAGTGAATCTGGCTTCCCTATTGACCTTGCTTGTTAGAAGGTCATGAAAAGTGATCATCTGACCCATAGGACACAGCAACCATCATACATATGGGTCAATTGCCACCTATTTGAATTTTTATCAAGTGACCATGGGGATACTGCAATGGTCATAAGTGTAAAAAATGGTCATAAGTCACTTTTTTCAGTGCTGTTGTAAGTTCGAACAGTCACTAAATGAACTGGTGTAAGTCGAGGACTCTCTGTTAGAGTGGTTATACATGTAACATATATGTTTGCTTTGTACCCCACCTCTCTATTTGTACAGGAGCTCAAGGTAGCAAAGCAACAACCAAAACAAAATGCAAAACATAAAAGATGACCATTAAAATCCATTAAAATCAATAACAGTATATTGACATTGACCCTTCTTCTGTCCACAGTCTCTGTGCTGTGAAATCAAGCAGAGGCGTCGAGGGGTAGGCTCAGTGTTACGTTTGTGCCAACACCTCCTTGATGATCAGGATACCTGTAATCTGAATGCGGACCATCAGTCGATGCAGCTGATAATTGTAAATCTTGAAAGAAGGTGGGAAGCTATCATCATGCAAGCAGTCCAATGGCAAACTAGATTGCAGAAGAAGTTGGCAAAGCATCCAGTAAGTGATACCCGTCTGACTTACCCCCTTCCCTTCCCATTCATTCCCATTGGACTTACTGTTCCATTGTCTCAACCATTATTATTATTATTATTGTTTTTGTTGTTTTTGTTATTGTTGTTGTTGTTATTCACAAAAATGATAGCATACACAGCAAACGAAATAACCATGCTGGGTTTCATATCACAAATCACTAATTGAACACTTCCCAAATGTTTAGGACTGCGTGATTATGTGAGCAGATCCCAGTAAGGTGGCCTTCTGCAGCTGACCAATGGTGATCTTGTCAGTGCCAATTGTTTTTAAGTGCTTGCCTAGGTCTTTAGGCATAGCACCCAGTGTGCCGATTACCACTGGAACCACTTGCACTGGTTTATGCCAGAGTCTCTGCAGTTCGATTCTCAAGTCCTGATATCTGGTAACTTTTTCAAGTTGTTTCTTGTCGATTCTGCTGTCACCAGGTATCATCATCATCATCATCATCATCATCATCATTATATAGTCAGATACCATAGGAGCCAAATAATTTGCTTTTGGATTTTTTTCTCATCATAATTTCTACATGGATGGAATCAACTGATTAATGGGTTGAACAGAATTTATTTAAGAGAATACAATTCTGTATTTTACACTGTGTAATGTCTATACTGAATGAAATGATTTCTGGAAAACAAAACCTAATAGTAGATAAATAACCTCAATCTTCCTTAAGATTCAGTCCAAACTTTTTTCTTTCATTTTTTTACAAATCAAGTGTAGACATTCTTTTAGAATAGAATAGAATAGAATAGAATAGAATAGAATAGAATAGAATAGAATAGAATAGAATTTTTTATTGGCCAAGTGTGATTGGACACACAAGGAATTTGTCTTTGGTGCATATACTCCCCGTGTACGTAAGAAAAAATAAAATACATTCATCAAGAATCATAAGATACAACATTTAATGATAATCATAGGTTACTCATAAGCAATCAAATCATACTAGGAAACAAATAAAATAATATAAATTAACATATGGGATTGCCTTTTTAGGATAATTTTCAATTAGTGTTGTGATAGGGAATGAGGCAGAGGCATTATGATATTGTACAAGTCTATGGAACTGGTTTTTGTGAATAGAATAGAATACTTTATTGGCCAAGTGTGATTGGACACACAAGGAATTTGTCTTGGTGTAAATACTCTCAGTATACATAAAGAAAAGGTACATTCGTTAAGAATCAAGAATCATAATGTACAACACTTAATGATAGTCATAGGGTACAATCAACAATCAAATCATACTAGGAAACAGTCAATATAAATCGTATGGATACAAGCAACAAAGTAACAGTCCTACAATCACAAGTGGGAGGGGATGGGTGATAAGGAATGATGAGGAATGATGAGAAGATTAACAGTAATAGTAATGTACACTTTGTAAATAGATGAACAGTGTTGAGGGAATTATTTGTTTAGCAAAGTGATGGCTTTCAGGAAAAAAACTGTTCTTGTGTCTAGTTGTTCTGGTGTGCAGTGGGAAGGGAAGGAGTTGAAACAGTTTATGTCCGGGATGTGAGGGGTCTTGTAAATATTTTCACAGCCCTCTTTTTGACTTGTGCAGTATAAAGGTCCTCAATTGAAGGCAGGTGGGTAGTAATCATTTTTGCTGCAGTTCTAATTATCCTCTGAAATCTGTGTCTGTCCTGTTGGGTTGCAGAACCAAACCAGACAGTTATAGAGGTGCAGATGATAGACTCAATAATTCCTCTGTAGAACTGTATTAGCAGCTCCTTGGGCAGTTTGAGTTTTCTGAGTTGGCGCAGAAAGAACATTCTTTGTTGTGCTTTTTTGATGATGTTTTTGATGTTAGGTGTCCATTTTAGGTCATGTGATATAGTAGAACCTAGAAATTTGAAGGTCTCTACTGTTGATACTGTGTTGTCTATTATTGTAAGAGGTGGTAGTATGGGAGGGTTTCTTCTAAAGTCTACCACCATTTCTATGGCTTTGAGTGTGTTCCGTTCCAGATTATTCTGGTTACACCACGAGGCAAGTTGTATAACCTCCTGTCTGTATCCAGGTTCATTGCTGTCTCGAATGAGACAAATCACTGTTGTGTCATCAGCAAACTTCAGTATTTTAACAGATGGATCATTTGAGATGCAGTCATTGTTGCAGTTTTAGGTATGTATCATTTACCTGCCAATGACCACTAGTTCATATCTAAATATTTCATGGTTGTTGTTTTTCTGCTATAGCAGCATTGCCAATTTAATCACTAATAAAATCACAGAACAAGGGAAATGTGAGGTCATAAATGTTGTGTTTGAATTTGAATTATTATATAGTTCTTAACTTAGGACTGATTGTTTAACAATAGTTCGAAGTTACTATGAACTATCCCTAGAGTTACTTATGATTTGTTTTCAGAGTTACAAAGCTGCACACACACACCATAGTCATATGATCACATTTTGGGCGCTTGGCAATTAGCTCACTTTTACAGCCATTTGCAGCATCCCATAGTCAGATAACCATGATTTTGGCCGATTTCCAGCATTTGCCTCCAGTTTCCAGCAAAAACATCCTTGAGGAAAATGCATCTGGTTTACAACCAGATGATTACTTAATGACCATTGTAACAAAAAAAACAGTTGTACCTTCAATTCTTGTCATGTGATGCTTCATATTATGACCACAGCAATTAATGAGTGAAATTAGAGCCCAATTGTCATCATAAATCAAGTGTTACCTGTATTAGAATTGTTTTACATCTAATCTGTTCCAAACCACTGTACTGCAGAACAGTCATATCATCCTTGGCAAATATTAGTAATGCCCTCCATTTTTTTAAGCTGTTGATTGACAGGGTCCATTTGGCTTAATAATTTCAGGTTTTTCACCAGTATTCCTAAGGCAACTCGAAACATAAAGACCAGAACTTAAGAAAAGCACTGCTGGATCAGGCCAAAATCCATCTTTGTCCAGCATTTTGTTTCTCAGAGTGGGCAATGAGATGTTTTTCTAGCCTCAGCCAGCTTTGTTCTCCTGCCATTAATTTGGAAGCCAGATGTGTTCGAGCCATTGATAGACTATAAATATATTCAATCACTATATAAAGCTTTTTAAAACCCTGCTTTAAAATTTAAAGCTAATTCAATGGTGGCAGTGAATTCCACAGGTTAATTATGCACTGTGGAAGAAATGTTTTGTGAAGAAGCAGACATACAGGATGGTTGATGTCTTTGTAAAATCCACCTTTGCCCCCAACAGTTGCTTGATTTTGCACGAAGAGCACACTGGAAGTATGGCAACTCCACTAACCCTGCAGCAAACCGTTTCTGTCTCACTCCCTATGTTCTCATACAGAGTAGCTGGTGAATATACGACATATGGCCGGGAGCAGAGAGGGTGACTTTTTTTTTTTTTTGGTCTTGTTTCACTTAAAATACCTGCAATCAACAGTGAGCTGTTCTTTTGCGTTGTGCTTCTATTTCAATTTCACCTTCTAGAAGATCCTGTTCTGTTCTGCCTGAAGCAGAGGCAAGGAACAGCCATGGGAAAACCGGGTGGGCTGCTGAACACACAAGACTGCTGCTGTTGGGAACCAGTTTTCTCTTTTCCAGGCAGGCAACTGCTTGGAGGTACTGCAGTACCTCTAAATAAGTAGATATGTGTTAATTAAAGGTGAATGCTGCTTCTGCAGCAGGAGTGAAGTAGACTTGTGATTTTATTTGTATAGGAATTGATGGGGAGGTGAGGTAGAATGAGTGTACAAGCACTGTGTTTTCTTTGTCTCAGGACTGGACAGAACTTCCCAAGCTCCAAACTGCTTTGTTCTCATTTTGCCTGGGAAAACCTGGCCTTGTTTGTTGGACTGAATTATCTTTTACCTAGTAGGGAATACAACTTGTTTCCTGCCAAGATACAGCAGCTATTAAATTTTTTTTTTTCTAGGTTTGATTTAGAGCACAGATGCTATTTTTGTTTTGTGGAGACTTGTAGCTGCAAACATATGCACCATATAAAAAGGTGGGCCTTCGTATGTAAGTATTTTTCCAGTGATGAAAGAGTTCTTAGAATCCAAATGTTCTGGTTGGAATTGAATTTTGTTAGCTTCTGCTGCATTCGCTGTCTCCCAATTCCAAGCTGGCATTTTACAGCATTTCCTTTCATTCAGTTCCTGTGTAGTCATTTCTTGGGTTGATCCCAAAATTGTTTTCTCTGCCTTGTCTATTTCCTTGAGCTGATGTTGTGCCAGTCTTGGCAAATGAATAGTTTCCCTGGGAAACTGTGTGTGTATGTGTGTTTTAATTGAGGTTGTCCAAAATATACTGTAATATATAAAACAAAGAGGATGTGTTTGCATCTCTGATGGCATCTTACTTGGTATTATTAAGAGTCACTGATATGGAAAAAGATTACTTGGATCAATACATCATGCAATATGAAAGGTCAGGAGCTATTTCCATCCTTTCTTTAAAGTGCTGTTCTAACATTTTCCTTTCTCTATTTTTTTACTAATGGTATCTAGTGGCATTCTATTATTACTGCTCAAAGATTTAATCAAGTGTTTAATTTCTCTATTTAATTTCAGTATTATTTCTTTCTTCTTTTCTTCCTCCTCCACTCCCAAAGGAAGAAAGCATAAGTAAAGGGACTCCAGGTTGGGACTATTAGGTGGCTGTCCAAAATTCCATTTTGGGATGAAAAACACCGGGTGATTGAAAGACATGTTAGGCAATTGTTATTTTCTTTTCCCTGTGAATCCTGAATTTGCTTAACACAACCAGTATTTTCATATTTTCTAGAAAGAAGGACTTTATACTACAGTTTAACTTCCCCAAATTTGCATTAATGCATGACCCTTCTATTCCCCTCTTTTGAATGTGCAACTGTTTTAAAAATAATACACACACAGACATCATGGCTGCCATTTTTGTAATGGTGTATGCCAATGTCTCAATGTTCAAAACATGTGTATGAACAATAACATCTCTTTAGTTTCTTCCACT